TAGCGTGTGAATGAAGAGTTATGTATGTGTGGTGTACTAGCGTGTGAATGCAGGGTTATATATGTGTGGTGTACTAGCGTGTGAATGCAGGGTTATGTATGTGTGGTGTACTAGCGTGTGAATGCAGGGTTATATATGTGTGGTGTACTAGCGTGTGAATGAAGGGTTATATATGTGTGGTGTACTAGCGTGTGAATGCAGGGTTATATATGTGTGGTGTACTAGCGTGTGAATGCAGGGTTATATATGTGTGGTGTACTAGCGTGTGAATGCAGGGTTATGTATGTGTGGTGTACTAGCGTGTGAATGCAGGGTTATATATGTGTGGTGTACTAGTGTGTGAATGCAGGGTTATATATGTGTGGTGTACTAGCGTGTGAATGCAGGGTTATATATGTGTGGTGTACTAGCGTGTGAATACAGGGTTATATATGTGTGGTGTACTAGCGTGTGAATGCAGGGTTATATATGTGTGGTGTACTAGCGTGTGAATGCAGGGTTATGTATGTGTGGTGTACTAGCGTGTGAATGCAGGGTTATATATGTGTGGTGTACTAGCGTGTGAATGAAGGGTTATATATGTGTGCTGTACTAGCGTGTGAATGAAGAGTTATATATGTGTGGTGTACTAGCGTGTGAATGCAGGGTTATATATGTGTGGTGTACTAGCGTGTGAATGCAGGGTTATGTATGTGTGGTGTACTAGCGTGTGAATGCAGGGTTATATATGTGTGGTGTACTAGTGTGTGAATGAAGGGTTATATATGTGTGGTGTACTAGCGTGTGAATGCAGGGTTATATATGTGTGGTGTACTAGCGTGTGAATGCAGGGTTATATATGTGTGGTGTACTAGCGTGTGAATGCAGGGTTATATATGAACATCTGCATTCACACACTGTTTCTCAGTGCAGATACACCCATCGTTCACACACAGCTAGCTGTTCATTATGTATATTTGCTGTTTGTATATAGGCTGCATTTTTACCATTTAATATAGCTGAGGAGCTCTGTGACACATTCATGCACACTGCATATAGGTGTGATTTTGTATTTGTTATGGAGCTCTGTGATGTACCCATACAGACTTATTATTATGAGTTTTATTGTTGTGGAGCTCTGACACACAAATACACACAGCACATTGGTGTCAGCTATAGTGTTGTAGAGCTCTGTGATGCACTCATGTAATATTACTATTTATTGTTGTGGAGCTCTGTGATACACTCATCCATACTGCACATTACTGTGAATTTTATTGCTGTGGAGCTCTGTGATACACTCATACTCACGGTACATTACTGTGAGTTTTAGTGCTGTGGAGCTCTGTGATACACTTATACATACTACACACTACTGTGAGTTTTTTGCTGTGGAGCTCTGTAATACATTCATATACACTGCACATTTCTGTGAGCTTTATTGTTGTGTTGTGATACACTCATACACACTGCACATTACTGTGAGTTTTGTTATTGTGGAGCTCTCTGATACCCTCATACACACTGCCCATTATTGTGAGCTTTATTGCTGCGGAGCTCTGTGATACACTCATACATACTGCATATTACTGTGAGTTTTATTATTGTGGAGCTCTGTGATACACTCATACACTCTGCCCATTATTGTGAGTTTTATTGCTGTGGAGCTCTGTGATACACTCATACACACTGCACATTACTGTGAGTTTTATTGCTGTGGAGCTCTGTGATACACTCATACATACTGCACATTATTGTGAGTTTTATTGCTGCAGAGCTCTGTGACCTCTTATACACACTGCACATTATCATTGAGCTCTGTGATATCCTCATAAACACTTCATGTTACTGTGAGTTTTATTGCTGTGGAGCTCTGTGATACATTCATGTACACTGCATATTACTTTGGAGCTCTGTGAAACACTTGTGCATACTACACATTATTGTGAGATTTATTGCTGTGGAGCTCTGTAATACATTGATACACACTGCACATTACAATGGAGCTCTGTGATACACTCATACATTCTGCACACTACTGTGAATGTTATAATTGTGGAGCTCTGTGATACACTAATACATTACTGTGAACTATAATGATGTGGAGCTCTGTGATACACTCATATAGACTGCACATTAGTGAATTTTTAACTGTTGTGGAGCTCTGTGATGAGCTACACACAACTGACGCCAGTTGTATATGGTATATATATGGTATATAATAAATGAAATAATAGTGCTTTGCTCATCCTAATCTAATGCAATTAACCCATGCTGTGGATCTCACCTGACTGTGTATGATGGGAGTTACAGTCCAGAGCGCTGGCACTTCCTAACCCTAGATAATCCCTTAGTAATACTCCGCTCTGAATGGCGCTATAATGATACTGCGCTACTACCAATGCAGCACCATCACAGTGCCGCTCACACAGCGCTCAGCGTTATCACAGCACCGTTATTAAAGACACCGTCCTGTAAACCAGTGGATCCCAGTTCTCATGGGCCACCAACAGTCCACGATTTATGTATTTCCCTGTTTTATTCCAATGGAGATCCTGACAAAACCTGGAATTTTGGTGGGTCTCGAGGACCGGTCTGGAAAACACGCAGTGAGCCAGACGTTCAATGGACGTGAGCACCGGGACACCGATTCATCATCATCTCCCTCAACATCA